CGGATTTTCATGCTCGTATCGCAATGATGGGCGAAGGAGCGATTGATTCCCTCGTAAAAAGGAGTGGGTGTCATACCAGGTGTGTAGAATGGTGCAATAAATCCCATCTGTCGTATACTTGGAAGTTGATCTATGTTAGGGTTAGTGGCGCTGACATAGACACTCATTGCGGAGTTGTATCGGTCAGATAGAGCCTGAGCAGCCGATCCGCCAGTCACTTGCATGTCTGGTCGATCGTCAACCGCTATATCATTCTGCTCGAGGTTGGCCATTGTATTTTTGTTTGGAATGACTAGAGTATTTGTCTCGCATTGATGGATTGTCGCGGGTTCTTCCTCGATGTGCCTGCGTTTGTTGGATTGTATTCAGTGGACTTATCTCAGCATGCTCAGCCTCTCTTCTCGATATTTTCGGATTAGCGCGACCAACTAAACTCCTTTAGACTTCTGCCAAGTCCTGCTAACTTCTGGACCAATAAGAGACTTCACACGTGCTCGCAACCTAATATCTCGTAGAGAGTCTGAGAAGAAACGGTTCCATCGTGTGTGGAAAATCAACACCGCCCATACAAAATATTCGATTGACTTCGAAATCATACATCTACCCTAAATATCTGCCTGATCATCACCAAACCGATATTTTTCAAATCCTCAGCCATTCTGCTATCATCTCTGCTATTTTACAACTCACTACCCCTTCTCATCATGTCACAATCGTTGACAAAAGACAGCGTGTCTTTTGAATCTCAAGACACCCAATGTCAGACGCGCTCCAGCCAATATCCTTCATCACTCGAAGATGAATCCTCTCTACAACCACTACAGTCTCCCAACAATGTAGATGATGAATATGACACATCAGACAGTGACTTAACAGAGCTTGAATCTATTGATACTCCTTCGGAATTCGAGATCACCGATACTGATACCGATACCCCGCGAGCTTGTTCACGATCAAACCGCCGTGGCCCACAGCACCTGCCTACAATGCCTTATAACCGGCAGAAAAGACGGTCAAAATTATCTCGCGTTGTCAGAACATTACAGCGAAACAGTTGGGGAATGGAGGCCTTTATAGAGGCTTGGATTCAGAGTCCCGATATCTTGACTCATCGACGATACAGTACTCCTACGAAGCGGCGAAATGCACTATATTCAGCACTTTCCAAAGCAGGGGTATTCAATGATAATCAACGTTATACTGTCTTGCTTAAACAGGAGCTGAAATGCCTTACCAATACTCCCTTCTTTGCAAAATTCAATCACGATTCTGATCTGGATACCATTGACTTAGGTTTCATGAACTCCTCGAAGCGAATATTCTGATCCACTTCAGACACTCGAGATGTGAAATGCTGAATGGTGTCATTGATGAAAGAGGTGTCAGTATTGTTGACATTCTGCCTGTTATTCTGACAGATCTGAAGAAGTATTGATCGGAAATATTGCACTGCTTGTTGAACCTTGACATGACTGTCAATAAAGACAATGGTCTTTAAAATGTGTTGAGGTATGATCTTTCCATCTGTATCAATGGCCTCGTTCAATAAAAAATATAACATATCATAGGATACAAGTTTACCGCGTGGAATCGGATGTACGCCGATAAAGATATCAGGACGGTTAATGGAAGTTCGAATAACCTGAGTCTGCCGTGGGTTTACACCAATAGAACGAAATCCAGCCTCTTGAAGAATGATATCTTCAGCTTTACTGCTGAGGGTTGCGGAACAGCCAAACCAGACAATATCCTCACGAAGAAGCAATCTCAGATGCCCCAGCCTGGCAAACTGACTACGGAATTGACTCCACTGTGTGACAAGATGACACTCATCGATAGCTACAAGCCCAATCTTTTCTTGTAAAGTAGGGTCTTGAAGAACATGCTGAAATCGCTTGCAAAGAGCTTGCTCTGGACTGAGCAGTATATGTGTATACTCACCTTGTTGAATGCGTTTGAGTAAGTCTTCTTGCCCCTGGAGATTATCAGCACTGACCAGACAAGGA